GTAGTGATTGGCTCATTTCCACCCAATTTTTCAGAATCCCTAATTCCTATTATAACATTCCAGAGAAGACTCATTGATTTGCCAATTTAAGTAAAAGTTTCAGAATCAATTAAATGCAGTATTGCTTCCCGTCCCCAAACTTGATATTCCTACTGAGCATAGGAACTGTCTAGTTTGCCTCGGTTTCATAGAAGTTCATTTCAGACCTTGTTTTGTTCACCAAAGGCGATTTCAGCTCGCCAGATGCTAATGCTTTAGTAAGGGGAAAAAACAGAGTTGGAGGCAATCACTTCCCTTTTTGTTCATGGCTTCATCAAGCACTGAAGAATAAACAGAGGATATATTGTTTCAGCAACTAAACCCTAATACTGGCGGTGCATTCGTCTGACTTCGGCAGTTGCACTTGCAGCCATGGTACCCGAGCCCCTGCGAGTCTTTTTAAGGAATCTCTGTCACTGCAGGTTGTGCGTCAGCAGCCACCTTTGGTCAGCGAGAACCATACAAAGGAGGGTCTCAGATGACGTCTGCAGGCTTTTATCAGATGTGCACTCTGATGATGATGAATTTCATGTTAGGTGTAATACACATATTTCTCTCTGAACACGGACTCCAATCCAAGCCCGCCAGCCATACAGATGGAGGCTGGGTGCGAGTGAGGCAGGCAGGACGGAAAAGCAGACAGCGCTGTCGGGCAGGATAAAAGATGTAAAATCCTACCGTAGGTTGTTTATTAGAAAAACATCTAAAATGCACATATACAGTAACCTTGGTTTGCAAGCATAATTCATTCCGGAAGCAAACTACTCGTATTGCAAGACAGCACTCGTTTAGTAAGTTAAAGTGTAGAGGAAATGTTTAACACTTGCAAACCATGTTACTTGCAATCCAAGGTTTTATTGTAGAATAGGTTTCATAGGAAAATGGGATAGGCCAGTCACACATTATATAAAAGATGCCAGACAACATTAGCTCTAAGGACCAGAGAATAATTTGTTGTTCTCTAAGACAAACTGGAAAATGAAGTACTGGGATGAATCAGTGTCCACTGTGAGCTAGGTATTCTTCACGTTTATACTGGTTAGCAGAGGCAAATGGAGCGCGTGTGTGTGTGTGTGTGTGTGTGTGTGTGTGTGTGTGTGTGTACACACTCTGTAATTAACTCCTAGTAAGTCCAGTGTTTCTTGTCAGAAAGGGGTATTTTATATGAACTCCTTCACATCTATTTAGACGATCAAGTCTCTGTGGTCCTATATCCTTCCTCAATTTTCAGCATATGAATTATCAACAGTGCTTAAAACCTTAGATTAGTTCTTACCTGCTATGTATAATAATATGCCGAGTTGGCACAGGCCCAAGGAATAAAACCTTCCTCTCACTGCCTCAATGTTTGCAGGATTAGGAAGTTGAACATGCTATCAAATATTTAGGTAGTTTATTCAGTAACAAATATGAACATTGTTTTACAATATCATGTTAAGCATTTTTTTTAAAGGAAGACAATAAACTTGGGACACTGGATCAGCAGCACCATTTTAGTGTAAGAAAGCTGCTGCGTTTTGTACTAGTTCATGGTCCTAAGGAATCTAGAATATTCTGACATGGCCCGGACTCAAGGCTCCAGAGTTAGTTTTTATGCTGTCATACAACGAATTAACATCGTTCTGAGCCCAAGGTAGTCAGAGCTGTGGCAGCCAGCCCAGAGATCCAGGCCCCAGCTGGTTCTGAGAAACCAAAGTTAAATGGCCGCATCGTTTCTAAATCCACTACTGGAGGCTGAGGGTAAGGATGATATGAGATTCTTTGTTATCAGGGAGACCTCACAGGATGGCGACACCAAGATAATGAAATACCGCTTTAAAAAACATGAGTCCCTAAAACATAAGCCATAACTTTTATCACCCTTAGACGACATTTGTGGCCCATCATGACATTCTTGCTCAGACGTGCTACTATAAATCAGGCTCCTTTCGCTCTCGCTGCTGACCCTTCTCAAATGCTGTGTGTCTGACCCAGAATGAGACGAGACGTAAACAAGGCATTCTCTCACTGCCCTGAGACGGACTGGGCCAACCGTTAGCATCTCGAAATGCTTAGAAGTAAATGACAAAAGCATAAGGCCTGGCAGTAATGGCAATTATGTTTTTCTTCTTTCGTCAAAAACAACTTTAAACTGTTCATTTGGATTTTACTATAGAACTGTGCTAGGTATAGTTCTACAGTAAAATGCAATTCTGACATCAATTGTGGCTGTGACATATATAGATTTAGATAAGATTCTAATAAAATAAAAATGCCACATTTACAAATGCTACATTTATATACACGCAAATAATCCTCAACACTAATGGTAAAATCTTAGGGTTTTGAAGGTTTCCTCCTACCTATTCATTTCCATCTAGTCACAACTCCAAGGATCATTTAGATTTGTGAAGGGAAACATGGGTGTTCACGGTACCTGTCTCCTCTGCCCGCTCCCTTCTGGGTTTGGGAGAGGCAGCCGCACTGTTAACACAGACTAGGCTGTGAGACCTCGTGATCCATGCGCTCACTGCTCTGTGAGCTGGCTGCAACAGGTCCGAAGACTTCGGAGCAGAGTAATGTACTTGCATGTATAAGCATCACAATGCAAGTAGGCCTCTGCGAACACGCACACACGTGTGCGCAGGCACACACATGCATGCATACATGTTTCTTCAAAGTAGCATTTTCACTGTCCTGTGCAACCCAAGAGTGAATTGCCTGCCAACGAAGTCTTATGCTGCCACTATTGGTCATGGTTAATGGTGAGGTGCCCTAAAAAGCCAACAGCTAAAGGAGAAGAGGGGAGGGGAGAAAGGAAAATGATTCAAGGCAGCGATTGTGAGACAAGAAGGAATCCAATCGTAGATACGTCAGTGTTAGTGCTGAAAGCTAATAATTCTGCAGGGCCATCTGAACCTACCTGGACACTGGACACCTCTGAAATGGCTTGGCCCTGGCCGCCCGGGGACCCGCGTTTGTCCTTTCCCCAGAGCGCGCTTGAGCCCCCTCTCTCATAGCAGGCGATGAGAAAGACACTTCGAGGTGGTGCCTGTACTCCAGGTCACCCGGGAGACTTTCCCTCAGTGATTATTTATGGTCTTAATTTCTCAATCCTAAAAAAAAGTGTCATCTAAGTGATATAAAAGTTGCAGGACACAAATGTTAATGTATCTGAAATGTTTATACATAAACAGCTGTTGGATAAAGGTGACAGCACACAAATAGTCTTCTAAAGATCTGTTTTGGTTTTCAGTGCTTTGAAAAGACAGGACAGCGGACCGGTGGGTTTTCCTAACTTTTCCCCGACTTCAAACCTCCAGTCTGATAAGACCCAGTGCCTCTTCCGGGTCACCTGACTGCAGCACGGTGACAATGTGGGGGTCAAGGGGCCTTTGCCTAGCAGCCCTGTCAATTGTGAGTCACTGAGATTGTACAAAATTGGTATTTGGCTTCCTTTCCAGTTTCATATTCATCATGTAATCAGGATATGTAGTGTCTAGAGAAGGCAGCACCCAAAGGAATGCGCGGACGTGTTTAAATAATGCGCACCACCAATTGTACAGCTGTCCTTTTATATTCAAATGACACAGGAACAGTCGTGTTCAATTACAAACACTT